CCCATACCCGCCCCTCCCGCGTCCGGGACGCCTCTGATAGCCGCAAGCTATTCCAGCCACCGCATTACGCTCCATCTGCTACCACCGCTTCCACCCGGGCCGTCCCACTACAGACCGCACCGGTTTTTCGCGAGCCTCAACAAAAAGGCGGTCAAAGTCCGTATTATTAGACGGCAGGCCCGAGACTTTCCTGAAAGGCGGGGTCCTCATCATATACTTTCTCTGCCTTTGTGCCGCCTCATCTTGCTGGTGCTCTCGCCCCAGCGCGCCGCTGGACACGCCACCGTTGCGAGCATCGCCCGTGACGGTTTCAGCATCGGCGGCGGCAGGTTCACCGGTTGATGTTGGTGTCAGCTCGGCGCAAGCATTGTGAAGCATTGCAGATGGCCTCGGTGACAGCACTAGCGGCGAGCTCAGCCACATCACCACCGTGAGCTGGCGTGACTACACACGTCCGGTGCGACAAAGGGGACGGGCAGCAGTGGGAATTTCAAGTTCGCTGTGTGTGCTTTTCCTTTTTGCGAAAAAAGAAGAGCAGTGCGTTGGACGCATCGATGCTTCTACTGAGAGAGCAGGGTAAGGAAAGCGAGAAGGAGAGAGTGAGGGAGAGTGAGCGGGTACAGGAGCGAGAGAAGAGAGAGAAAGGGAGACAGGAGCTAGAGAAAGGGAAAGAGAGAGAGGAAAAGATAGATGCGGTGTCACGACATGTTCACCGTGAAGGGTGGAGTTACCACACTGCCTGCCCACCTCTGTAGCGATACGAGCCTTTCCGCTCGCAGCCGTCCTCCTTACAGCTCCATCCCATCTGGCGTTTTGAGTGTTCCCCAGGGTGCCACGAAAAACCAGCGGAATTGCGGCACCGCAGATGGTACTATTGAGACCAATAACCAGAAACGGGTATACCCGGGTACTTTATCACCACTTTCGGGTACACTTAGAAATCAAAACGTTTGCACCCCCAGGCTGTCAGCTGATTGGCCGAAAAACCATTGTACCCATTTTGGGAGAAAACCCCATCGGGTACAACTGTTTCTGGCAATAGGACGCTCTGGAGTACCGATATTGGTTACTGATGTACCCGGAAGTGGTCAATTTTGTACCCAGAAATGGTCATATTTTCCTGGCGCCCGACGATCTAAAACCCGCAGAACAACCCGTGTACCGCACATACCCGCACGATACACCATGTACCGCACATACACCACACACAGCAGGGTGGTACCAATCTCCGACAGCCTCCTCCGTAGATCGCGGCGAAAAACCAACCGCCGTGCTCTGCTGTGCTGCTGCTGCTGCGCTGCTGCTGCGCTGCTGCTGCTGCGCTGCTGCTGTGCCTCGCAAGCATGAGGCAGGTCGTGCCCGTTTTGTTTCTCTGTCCTTACCCAATGTACGAGCACCACAGCGAGCTAACTCGCGGATCGAGCGAGTTCGACCCCCTGTAGGAGAGGGGCCCGGGCCCACGAATCAAAATACGTAGTAGGAAAATAACCAACGGCCACCGAGGGCGATCGGGTCCTCCTTCCTCATGAGAATGCTGGTGGTGTGGAGGTGAACCTGCAAGATATATATAGCAGTGTGTCTCTAATGTGCGACATGTTAGCAGCTCGCTGTCGATAGCTACAGATAGATGCCTACACATTGTCTTACCAACTTGTTCCCAGTGTTGTCTCTTTTTCCCAACCACACAACAAAATGTCAAGACAAAAACACCCACACACACCCTCTCTGCGCTGTGACGCGCTGCTCCGCAAGGGCTTTTGTTGTAGTCTAGTCATATTACCAGGCAGCTAGATGGGAGCACGGATCCACAATTCGTCCATTATGCATAATACCTGTTTGGCTGTGCCAGGTGCTGTGTTTTTCCGTGCGTGCATGCAGGTGTAATGCAAGTTTGGGTGTTAATCGAGCACACGGCGGTGGCGTGCACAAACAACGGTCAACGTCCAATTCGCTCGACTGGGTCCCAGGCTCAATGCCTTGCGTGGTCTGGAGGTTATCTTTGAGTAAATGACCGTGGTGTAGTATCGAGGTAGATGTCATATTTCAAGATAAAATGGTTAGTTTCCTCAATGAACGTACCGATAAAGAGTCCATACAGACAAGGTGTTTGACGCATGCTGCGTTCACGTGTTCCTCTCTCAGGAATCCTCCGAAAAGGACCCATCATGCATGGATGACCTTAGCAGACTAGGTTTTCAGTCATACATCGTATGAACTTGGCGTTGTGGCAACACAGCAGTCATTACTTCGTCTCGATTCAACACTTGCGCGTCGGTTTTCCCAAAAACATGCGAATCATGAGAGAGAGAGAGAAAAAAGTCGGAAATAAACAAGAAATGGTCTTGAGAACACGCGTCTCTCTCAAAGGAACGCGGTGGCCGCCCCGCCCCCCTCACCCCCCCCTCAAAAGGACTCCAAAAGGACCTCGAATGCCACACCAAAATTAAGGGGCCTCTTCCAGCATCTACATATCAACACGACACGCTCGTTTATTTCCCTTGCGTAGCAGCAACGTGTACCCGGACGTTCCTACTCAGCAGAGGGTGTGTGCTCCAAATCAACGATGCACAATCCAAATCAATGATGCACAATCAAAGCGGAAGGGTCAGCACATTTTCGTACGCCATGCATGCCAAACTTAGCCAACATACCGCAGGGAACACGACAGCGAAAGAAAGACGAAAGCGCAAAAGAAATAAAACCTCCCTGCCCACCATTATTCACTATCGTCATCACCCATTTGGTCGTTGGGTAGACGAGTGTCAAGGCCCGCGATCCCCGATTCTTCACTGGACAGGGTTGGCACGAAAAGAAAAGAAAGAAAACATCGCGGAGTACGTGACACGGACAAAAACGGCAACACACACATCGTCATTCGGCGGCCGGCACTCAGCGTGCCAAGTTGATCACCATCCCCCCGACAATGACCGATCCGCCCGCACGCCCCCCCTGTGACGAAGAGGGAGCCGCCGTGGCACTCCTCTGCGACAGAGAGGGAGCCGCCGTGGCACCCCCCTGCGACAGAGAGGGAGCCGCCGTGGCACCCCCCTGCGACAGAGAGGGGGCCGCCGTGCTTCCGGATGCAGTCGGGCCGAGTTCAGAAACTCGCCTGTTGAACGACGACGACGCGTTCTTGTCCCCGCGCCCAGGGATCCTCTTGTACTTCTTCGGCCCGGATTTTTTTTCGGAGCGCCAGCCTGACCAGCCACCCAGAAAGGAGGTAGGAGCGTGTCATCTTCCTCCAGCGTGGACGGCACAGGCAGCATGACCTGGTACGCGTCGTCGCCGTAGGTCCGACGGTGGTATTGTAGGCGATAGGCCGGATGTATCAGGGCCATGACAGCGTCCATCTTGTCCTCCGCTGCGTGTATCGAAGGAGGGGGCAACATGGACAGCGACAGGAGACGGAAAATAAATGAAAAAAAAAAACACGCAGGAAACAACTAAAATGAACAGACACACCGGAATCAGAAAAAACAAAGACCCGACACGATGACAAGCGAACAGACACAGGGCATTCAGCGACCAGGTTCACGCAAGTGCTCCGATAGATTCCGCGACAGTACACTCAAAAACAGTGCTGCTGGCAACACGAGGTTCACGTTCATCGTTTTTTTCGGTAACATGACTACTGCTGTGCCCACTAGGTACATCGCTTACATCTAGCCAAGGCGATGACGTCGCAGCAAGGGATGTGGAACCTCGCGGGGAACCCGCATGTGCAGGACCACTCTGTCTTCTGCCCCGGCTCGCCCCACCTCAGCAGGACCCTGTTGCCGCGGGTGTTGAGGGTGGCGAGATTGGTGTTCTCGACCGTGTAGAACTGGTTGCCCGTGGGGGAGGCGATGAGTCTGGAATAATGGACGTGGCAAAGGCGTGCATGTGAGTACATTACATGTGCATCTCGGCGGCGTGCGTGCACCTACAAACATGACATGAAACTCCCACCCGTTGGCAACCCACCACTCGTCCGTGCAAGTACAAGAGAGTCCTGCACGGATTATTATAGGTTGTCCCTTCGACCACACGAGGACATACCCATACACGGAAAAACCCAAACGCGGCTGTATATTCTCCACTATTGTCAACACTTACCCGGCGGACTTCTTCCTTTGGTCTTCGAACGTCGCGGCAGCATAGGGAGTCCATGCTCCATTGCCGAGGGTGGCACGGTGGGCGAACTTCTTGGCGGTATCAGCGAGTATGCTCCTCATCATCTCGAATGGCGGTAGCTTCCTAACCTGTGACAAGTCATCGCCGAATAAGTTGCAACATGACCAAGCTAGGCTTGAAACGAAACCAACCATGCTTGCTTACTTGCTGTGGTCGACACGGGGCGTTGCAGTGGTACAAGAGAAACACCAAAACGGGGTAGGGGTGCACCCACAACTCGAGCACGAATGCGCGGGGGTGTGTGGTGGAGGGGTCGTGGGAGGCAGGCGCACGTGTACTCGTGTCCAGTCACGTCCACGAAAAAGCCTTATTTTCAAGTTCTTTCCAGGAAAAAAAAAAACGAAAAACATCTATTCATCTGTCTCTTCTCTGCCACGCACGGGTGCACTTGCCTTCCGACGAGTGAGTGGGTGTCCCTGACATGGAATCTACAGTAACGTGTTCGAGTCTTCGCGGCTCGTTGTCCAACCAACCCTGCTACCGATCATACATGGTCCACAACAAACGGAACGAACATCCCGTCCTGGAATGGTGGTACTTTCATATTTTCGACACCTATCCCGGCAGTCACATACGACGAACCATCGTGTGACGAGTAGCCTTACCTCGACACCAATCGACGAGTTGGTTTGCTTCGAAATGTTGTTCGTGACAACGTCTTGGATGGCGGTGTCGGGGGGCGCACCAGAGTGAGCCCACTCAGACCTCTTCCAGAGGTTCATGATCTGGGCATAGGCCACAGGCTTGCTCGGTAGAACGTGGTGTTTCAGGATGTCCTCGCACTGTTTCTTCGTGGGAGCTCTGGAGGCGAAGAATACCCATGTGTTGACATTCTGGGCAGAGAAGCTGAAACACGAGGAGAGGGGGCACAGGCAACGCAGGGAGAAGGGACAAAACTAAGAGGGGCTTCGCAAACACAACAAAATGGAGCAGTAACGCACCCAAGGGAGTCGCAGCGCATCGGCGAGTGCATCAACAGCAGTTCCGGTGCTGCGCCAGCGGAGCCTCGCCCTCCAACGCACATTTCCCCCCCTTGTGCTGGTCGGTGTAGAAGGTTGTCTTGGAGTCTTCCAGAAAGTCCCTCATTTTCGGGTTCTTCTTGCAACCTCTGATCAAAGTTTTGTAGAGGTCGGTGTTCTCGACCGGTCCGATCGCCGTCGCGACGTGGATGTTCTCGTTGTTGGCGTCCTTGCACGTCAACGTCAGCATCTGACCGTTCCACTTTCCCTTGAGGTGTGCCCCATCCATTCCCACGACCTGAGGACGTTTTTTTTAGAGTGAAGAGGGAGGGAAAGCGTCAAGGCAGTTTCGTCAAAACGCCAAATCAATGCCATGGGCGACATGCATGCATAACGTCGCTCTGCAAGAAGGGCAGGGGCAACATAAAGGTGTTCACACGACGGACGATCTTCGAAGTTCTTCCAGTCGATCTCTTTCGAAGGAATGGCAACATGTTTGCACAGGCAAAAAGGGATGTACAAAAAGCTTGAGCGTTGGCGTGGGGGCATCGACCGGTCTCACCCGGCGCGGAAGGAAAACAACTCAGGTCTTCGAGACATAGATGCCACCAGCAAGACGCCGATCTCCATCGAGGCCGGCAATGTTGTTGGGAGTGGAAAGCGGGCACCACGCAAATAGCAGGGCAACAAAGATGGTGGGGGTCGATCCCTTTATCGTTTTCATCTCTTTACTATACCTCCCTACCCCGGGTTGGGTTTTCGTCGCTTGGCAACGCATTGTGAAACAAGCCGATCGCATCGTTGGGGTCGACAAGCAGGTAACCGCTTTTTTGTTTTTGCCTTCGTTTTTTTTGTGTCACTGAACAGAACCCTCACTCCGCGCAAACGGGATGATCACACCAACGTTGTGTTAAATTGGGTGAGCACCTTCGAGGCAGTTTACGCAGTGCTCCAACTGTCTCTGGAAGTGAAAAGAGCAAGTGAATACACCAGAAAATAAATTATCGAGTCATTTCCAGCTGTCATCCATATGCTGCAAGGAAGCAAGCCCACGATGCCGGACACCCTTAGCAGGATGCATCGCATCCGCATCCTGCATGCGACTCGCCGAATACCTCACGGCGCTTCGCGCTTGGTCATGTGAGAGCCTGGTCCGGTCGGTGAGAACCCGGCGTGCTCCGTCCGGCATTCTACGGATGCGAGGACAAAGGTCTAACGACTACGGCATGCGTTTACATGAGTACACCTCCCCCTCCCCTAAACTAGGTACAAGAGGAATCATGGGGGGCCAGTGCGCTCGTCCACCATGTATACCCCAGGCGGTTGCCCACATCCTCGTGAACACATCTCCGGGCGCGCAAGTGACACACTCGACACAGGGGTAGACTGCATTCAACGTCGTCTACGTGGTGTTACAACTAAATACTCCAATGGGTTACAACATGCGCCGTGCACATCGTGTGTTCCGATTAAAAATGGAACGGGCCAGTCCCAACTTTGCGTGACACACACCTTGATCGGGCTTCGCACCGCAGCGTACGCAGCACGCCCGAGCATGAAGAAAAGACTACGGAACCTGCCGGTAGTCTCCCTCTGACACAGCAGTACAGAGGAGCGCAGGGGACGGCGAAACACATCGAAGGGGGGGAGGGGGATGGGATCAGTTCGATTTCAAATTTCAAACACATTTAAAAATATTGAAATATTGTCCCTACAAAATAGACGTCGAACACTCCCTTAACACAAAACAAGATATGGTTTTGGTCAAATTCAAATAAATTCAAATCAACCCAACTTTTCCCGCCTATTTGTCCATCCTTTCTTTGCATCAAGAGGCATCATTAGCCATCCATTTTTGTGGCGCTGCCACCGCCATGTCAACCAGAGCTCCGGCTTCTTCAACGGAATCGCAGATTTAGAGCCACGTTTACGTGAGTACTTGTGGACGGTGGGGTACAGCTAACGTCGGGGGTGCACTCTACACACAGCAGACACCATTCCTCACCAATCATCTAAGCCATTCCTACCCACGAAATTCAACCACCGCTGAGAACTGATAACCCACCCACCTGCACCACCGCAATCGATCCCGGGCAGTCCTTCACCAGTTCCTTGCAGTAAGAGGTCATGATGCGGTACCCGTGCTCCAGTTGCTCCTTCGACGCCCTTGTAGCCGCGACCTTCAGGCGTGACGCCGCGCTGTAGCTGACTTTGAGCCCGGTCTGCTGCTCTAGGCTCCTTTTCAGGTCCGTGCCCTTCACGGTCGGGTTGCTGACCATGGCAGCACTGGCGAAACCCTCGAGCGCAGCCGATCTCGCTCCGACCTTGCCGCCAGAGCAGTCATTGTGGTCCGGGATGATGAACGTCACCTTGAACTCTCCCGACCTCTGCTTGCAGGCGCGCACTTCAGCCAGACATCTTCCTTTGGCGCCATTGCAGATATGCTTCTTTTGTCTGCCGCCTCCGTTACCGGAATGAAAGCTACGGCCAGCTCCCGCGAACAGGGCCGCCACATGTACCTTCAAGGCTTTCGCGTCTTTGTATTGTTTGCCCTTCTCCAGCATGATAACCGTGTGGTGCGTGGGTGAGAAGTGCTGTAAGTGGTGAGGAACTGCCTCCGGGGGCGGGCACACGGCACACGGCGGTTGGTTTTTCGCCGCGATCTACGGAGGAGGCTGTCGAAGATTGGTACCACCCTGCTGTGTGTGGTGTATGTGCGGTACATGGTGTATCGTGCGGGTATGTGCGGTACACGGGTTATCCTGCGGGTTTTAGTATTGTCGGGCGCCAGGAAAATGTGACCATTTCTGGGTACAAAATTGACCACTTCCGGGTACACCAGTAACCAACACCGGTGACACCAGACGGTCTGGAGATGCCGGTGGCTACCTGGGGGTACCTGGGGGTGCCGGCGCGTTGATTTCTAAGTGTACCCGAAAGTGGTGATAAAGTACCCGGGTATACCCGTTTCTGGTTACGTCTATTGAACCCACCGCGTATATGTGGAGGCACCGCGTATGGTACTCTTGAACCTGATGCGGCACCGCGCATGGTACTCTTGAACCCCGACACGTAGGGGGAGAGACAGGAGCAAGGAACACGAGGGCAAACGAGGAGGGGGTGCTTGAACAAACCAGAGGGAGCGTGCGAGCAGACGAGAGAGAGAGAGAGAGGGAGGAAAGGCCTGTGAGCAGACGAGAAGGTGCGCGTGAGAAGGAGAGAGGGAGAGCTTCGCCACAGACCAGAGAGATCGATCAGGCGAGGTGAAGAAAAAATGTGTGCTGTGTAGCGGCGTGCTCGTGTGTGCGCGTGCGCGTGTCATGTGTGATATCTTGTGCTTCGTGCTCGTTGTATATGTGAGAACAGAAAGAGAGCTCGACAGTGATAGAGAGAAGGAGCAATTCATAGCAGTAACAGCGGTAGCATTAAGCGGCAGCAGCTCCTCCAGAGTCGAGAGAGCAAAGCACGCCGATGGCATAACAGCAGTAGATATCACAGAAAGCAACACCTCTGTTGTGTGCCCGACCATGTCCGTCCTCTTGAGCTGGCAGTAACCTCTCGCCAGAAACTGTACAGCAGTACCTGAACCACCAATTGCCGGGGAAAATCACGGTAAAAATCACACCCATCAAAGCACGTCTTGTGTTTTCCTCAGCTTTCCCCTTCAGGGGCCGACGGGAACCCGACGGGAACCCGACGGGAACCCGACGGGAACCGACGGTCGTGTTGTGATCAGGGTCAAGGAGTAAGATGGGCAACAGAGTCGATCTTAGACACATTGCCAGCATCGACAGCACCCATGGAAGAAGAGCAGACCCCTCTGCCAGCGCCTGTGGTAGACACGGTATCAACATCAGCATCGCTACACGGTAGAGCGCCCCAACCCTAACCCCATCGCCGGAGTTGTGTGGCCGGCGTCGCTACAGAAGCTATCGTTCGGAACCACATTCAACCGGCCCATTGTCGACGTCGTGTGGCCGGCGTCACCGCAGGAGCTATCGTTCGGGTCCAGCCACTGTTTCAGGGAGGACTTCAACCAGCCAGTGCTAGAGTCGTGTGGCCGGCGTCGCTGCAGCGGCTATCGTTTGGATACAGCTTCAACGAGCCCATCGCCGGATTCGTGTGGCCGGCGTCGCTGCAGCACCTATCGTTCGGAAATAGATTCAACCAGCCCATCGTCGAAGTCGTGTGGTCGGCGTCACTGCACAAGCTATCGTTCGGAGCGGAGACGAATTCAACCAGCTTATCTCCGAAGTTGTGGGCCGGCGTCACTGCAGAAGCTATGGTTCGGTAGCTTCAAGCAGACTCTCACCGGCGTTGTGTGGCCGGTCTCTCTCCAACAGCTATCGTCGTGGTCTTATTGCTGTCGGCCCATCTATCAGCCCATCATGCACCTACCTGCCTGGCAGAAAAAGAGAAAGCTGCCATTGGCGGCAGGATCAGACGGTTTAATCTTTGTGCCGTTTCGAAACAGGGGTGGCAAGTTGGGGACCAAAGCCTGTACTACGCGTCAATTTGCCGACTTGGAGCACGGTGGCGCTCGTTGGGACATGTTGCTTCTGTGCATTCAGGGGCACGCGTCGTCACAGATGGTTTTCTGGTGATGTGCGCTTCGGGGTGTCTGATCGATGTAGAAACAGGGACGGTGTCAGGTTCCGATTTTTTTGCGATTTTTGCTGATTTGTTGACATTTCCTGCCTTTGTCTGAGCTCTTCTCGTTTTTGACTGATTTTCTGACAACACGCGGAGGGTGTCTTCGGTTGGTGTTGAGCATAAATCGGGACTATTTATAGTTTTTGAGACACCAAAAACGCCCTAAACCAACGCCCTAAGCCAACACCACGACATGGCATGTCCAAGGAACACCAAGTATGCCAAACCCCGGGAGGCCGATGATGGGGAGAGCTATCACCAAGAGACACTGCCTAGAGTCTCAACCAACACCAAACCTACTCCAGTGTCAACCTTGTCGCGCTCCCGCAACCTCCTTGACTACCAAGTCGCTCGGAAGAACGCTACAGCCCTTCATCTCGCATTTAAACCATGTTCTCCTTAACGGTGGATATCTGGCTGCAGGGGGGGTAGCTTCCAGTGCCTGTGCCATTTTCAAGGAACAAGGCCAAATTGCGAGTTGAGACAATCGGGACCATTGATCGCCCCCGAAACAGAGGGTGGTACAGCAACGGTTGGCTGGCGACGGCGCATTTCGGGGGTCTGTCGGGGGTCTGGTAGCCGGTGAAACAGTCTGGGGGCGCGCGATACAGGCGGTGCCGATGTTTGAATTCATGCAACATTGGCGCGCTTGGGATGGCAACAAAAAAATCGGCAACTTTTCGGCCTGCAGCGGACGTGCAGCTCTGCCGGAGATGAGTTATTTTTATTGAGTCCTCTCCCGAGGAGATCAACGCTGGCACTACGCTAGATGGGAACCGCAGTTTGAGACGCCGTCACGTCCCAAACACCGGGGTGGTAACCTGGGATGTTTGTTAAATACAACTAATTGTTGATGTGAAGCTTAAATTTTCAGTCTGCCGCCGTCGCCGCCGCAGAAAAAGAGAAACGAAAAATGTGCCGCCAAATAAACATGTCACGCAGCTCACCGTCATGTTGTTTTCCAGACCCAAAAACCGCCTCACTCATCGCCTTCGCCTGGGCCTCCCCCCTTCTATCGGTTGTTGCTGCCCTACTTCTCTCCATCGCCATCTTCCCCCCTCTCGGCTCTGGAACAGAAAACAAGGGGTCGGGTGTCACACGGCATCTGGCAATCGACGTATTCACCCGTCAGAGTTTAATACAGGAAAAAAGCTCGACCTTCCACCGACTACAACCAACCCTAGAATCTGAATCTGACATACCTTTTCTTTCGAATCAGCAGCTCTAGGTCCGTACGCTCTGTCTTCTGTTCATCGCTGGTTTTCAGCTCGGTGCCAGCGTTGCAGTAGCCACACCTAATCTTGTCATGGAAGCCGAATTCAGCACCCCAGCTCCTGATACAGTCCACCGGGATAGTGTCTCCGGGAAACACCTGCACAGGGGCTTTCTGAAAACGCTCACTCTCCTGTTCGCTGGGAGTCTTGTGGCGATGAACGTCGTAAAAATTACACGAAGCAGTGGAGAAGACAGCTAGCGGTCAGTAGACGAGTGCTCAAAAGTACCCCCGCCGAGTTGCTACCTTCTCTGATTTGTCTCAGGCACCTACGTCTCTTCCCACGTAGTCTCCTTCTACTCTGTACACGATTACATCACCTTTATTCGATGAAACGTCTTGCTCATCTGTTTCTGCTTCTCCTTTTCTCGCTCGGCCTCCCTCTCGCTTTCCCAGGCTTCCCTCTCCTTCTTCTCCTCTTGTGCCAATTCGTGCCTGGCTTCCACGTCGCTCTCGTAACATGCATCTTCGAAGTCCATAGCCGCCTCATCGTCATCGAATCCAGCATTCCACACCTCCTGCCGGCTCTTCGGATCGTCAGACATCTTCTCTGCCCGCCCTGTCCCGGAAGCTCTCTTCGAGTCGCGCTCTGTGGCAGAAGCTTTTGTCGCGTTTCTCCCAGCTCCTCCGGTACGGCGCCGTTTGTTTCGGCCACTTCGGACATCTGTCTGCTCCTGCTGCCCTGCTTTTCTTTTTCCCTTCCCCTTGGGAGCGGTGGAAGACCCACCCGCGCTCCCACCCCCGCTCGGCTTCTCGGTGGTTGCTTGTAGTGCTGCTGCTCGTGCTGCTCCCGACCCCGATAACGTTCCGCTCTCATCGCCTTCGCTCCCACCGTCGCTGCTGCTGCTGCTGCTGCTGCTGCTGCTGCTGCCGCCTCCGCTTCTCCCCTTCGCTGCTGCTGCGGCCGCCTTCAGCTCCGCCTGCAATTCCTTGCAGAGTATGGGATTCCACCTGCGAAATGGGGCCAACGGGCGGTTAAAAAAGGAGGCTGGCAGTCTAGCTTCTCTCTACGCAATTATCAAAAACTCGACACAGAAAGCCTATCTAGTGCAGACTCTCACCACATGTTGGTACATCGCCGTATTACTTTGACATTTGAAGCCGACTTGTGGCGGGTGTGCTTGACCCTGTTGGCACGGATGGCCGTCCGCATGGCCTTCTTGAGGCCGATAGGGATGCATTCCTCGCTGAGATAAGCGTGCTGTACGGCGCGAACGATGAGGGTGGACACATAAAAAAGACAATATGAGAGATCAATTTATTTCAGCGGTATTAGCATCCACGGACAGCAACATGGACGACATCGTGCATCCTTCTTCCCGTGCTTACCGTGACGCCTGTTTTATCTATCTCCTTGACGAAGTCGCACCAAGTGGACGGCTTGATCTTGGAGTTCTCCCCCGCATTCAGACACCATATGTTGCCCTTTCGCAGCACCTTGGCCAGCATCATAAGCTGTTCGTCTCGCAAACCATTGCTAACGTTCTGAATGTAGAGAGCTTGACAGTTGTTGAGCATCAACGCCTCCAGCACGGCATCTATGACAGGTGTGCTTACGTCCGCTGGGATGTAGTTATGAAGCTTCAGCACCTCTACCCTCGGGTCGTCCGTCCGAATTTGTGCGAGCAGGTGAACCACGCTGGGCGATTCCAGCGCAGAAGACCCCACCACCCTGCTCGATCGCCTGGGCACGGAAATGTCGTCCTCCTATGGAACAAGTGGATAAAAGAAAAGAAGTCGATACAAAATGCATCTCCGCGGTGTGGGGCGAGTCGGGTCGCACATGCCTATCTTGTTGCCACATGCGCTCCGGGTTTGCTCGCATTCATTTTGAGCCGTCTATCTTTCAGCAATAGCAACCCATTCTGTTTTTTCGCGCAAGCTCAAGTTCCAGACACAACGCGCTTTTGAATCGCTAACACCTACCTCGTGTTCGTCACCACCTCCGTTCTCGCTCCCGTTCTCGCTCCCGCTCCCGCTCCCGCCGCCGCCGCCGCCGCTGCTACTGTCTGGCGCCACTGCTAGTGCATCGCTTATAGCTTCCCCCTGCTCCACTTCGCCACCGTACACCCGAATTTGGTCGAGCAAGTCGTGCGAACCCCGGCTCTCCTGCACTCGCGGGGCTTCACCCGTCTGTTGTGCCACACCCACTGACCCGCTAGACGTCCGCATCACGTCGCCGGCACCGGCCTCTCCCACTACCTGCACCTCCACACCACCTGCCACCAAGGCCTCACGCGGCGGAAGAGGCTGCTCGCGCTCCGTGTCTTGCACAGGCGTCGCCGTCTCGACCACGGCCTGCGCAGATGCAGACGCCGCCGCCACTGCCTCGTCTGGCTGAGTGCCAGTTACCTGTGTGACCGCGAGCTCTTGCGAAAAGTCCGGCGCACCGTCTTCGATCGGAACCGTTTCCTAATTGAAACAAGTGGTCAAAAGGGTGGAGCGGGGAAAAGCGGAGAGTGGATGGGTATCAGTCTTTTTCCGCCTGTCATAGTGTCTAACACAGGGAGGGCTCAACAATCGCCCTTTTGTTTTTCTACATATTCACCCATGCTTCGAAAATCAACACTCACATCGTGATTGGCTCCATCGCCGCCACCGCCGCTCTCGATCCCTCCATAACTCTCGTTTTCCGCGCGCACACAGACGGTGGCGAGGAGCTGTAGGTTGCTGGATGACGCCATCTCTAGGCCGCCGGCTCCTGCTGCTGGTCCTGCTGCCGACACCGATGTCGCGGCGTCTTTTGCCGTTCCACTCTCGCCGCCTCCGCTACCACCGCCACCGCCGCTGCGTGAAATGAACCAACCACCCGTTGCTGGCGCCGTGCATTCTTCCCCTCTCGCTCCAATTTCGACTCTCCCTCGTTCACCGCTCGCCGGAACAGGCTGCGCAGGATCCGTCCCTTGTCCAGGCGGCACGACGGCGGCACCATCGTCATCTGAGTCCGCTTCGGCCACGGGAACGGCGTACTCCTGTGGCGCGGGTGGTTAAAAGAGTGGGCCGGTGCCAGCGCGTGAAGCAGCCGATACGAATGTTCGGACAACATGCATCTCTGTAGTGTGTGGCGGTACACTACCGGTCCGCTAACAAGAAAGCCGCTGTGAAGAAAGTAACTCGGGTCAAGCTTTTTTGGTGCCGTCTTTCTTTCGGCGAAAGCAACCATCCTCGTTTTCTTACGTAAAGTCAAGTTTCAGACACAACGCGCTTTGGAATCGACCAAACCCACCTCGTCTTCATGAACACCTCCGCTCCCGCTTCCACCACCCCTCCCACCCCCGTTTGCCGCCGCTCCGGTGCCCGAACTGCCTTCAACGCCTTGTGGTGCCAGTGGTGGTGGTGGTGGTGGTGGTGCTGGCGACGTTGGTGCAACTGTTGCCGGCGCCGCAAATGTGTCTATCACTAGCGCACGCTCCTCTCGCCCCACCTCGCCCGCTGCAGCCTCTGCTTCTGCTGCTACCCCTTCCCCTTCACCCCGCACGCCCGCTGCAGCCTCTGCTTCCGCTGCTGCCCCTTCCCCCTCACCCTGCACGCCCTCTATTGGCGCTGCCTCCGCTACTGCCCCTTCCCCCTCACAGTGCACGCTCCCTGCTGACACAGCTTCCCCTCCCCCCTCCCCCTGCACGCCCGCTGCTGCCGCAGCTTCTCCTTGCCCCTCCCCCTCTACGAGCGCTGATGCTAATTCTTGTACCGTAACTTCTACCACATGCGCCACCGCCTTCCTTACTTCTTCTCTCTTGTCCCCCTCGCCTTCGCCCACAGCTGTTGATGCTGCCGGCGCCGGAGATGTGTCCTCGCGTTCCCCTCGCTCCACCTCGCCGGCTGCTGCCGCTGCTGCCCCTTCCCCCTCGCCCTGCACGCCCGCCGTAGCCGCTGCTGTGTTGACCAGCGACTCTGATGGCTGCCCTCCTCCTTCCCCCTCCCCCTTATCTCTCGCTGCTGTGTTCACCAACGAATCTCTATCCGATGTGTGTGCCGCGGCCGCAAATGCTATTACCGCTACCGCAACCGACTTATTGCGCGGCTCTGGTGGCTTCCTTCCTCCTCCTCTCTCACACTCCCCTCCCGCTGCTGTTACTACTGAATCTTGTACGGAACCAGTTGCTGCTGATGCTGGTCTCTGCCCTGACTCTCCCACGCTATCCTCCGCTCGTACCGTTACTGATGCTGGCGATGTGTCTACCACCGTTGCTGCTGATTCTTGCGATGATACTACCGGCCCCCGCATCACCGAAGCAGCTGCCGGCGCCGCGCGTTTACTCATCCCATTTTTTTTGTGAAGGCCACAGTACGTGCTCTTGCCGAAACCATAGTTGGCTAGGGTTTTACACTCTGGTTCGGCACACCTCTTGTCCTTTACGTTGCTCATCCCTTTCTTGCCTTTGCCGTGTTCTGAACAAAATATTCTCAGGCCTTTTGTTGGTTCGGAGACACAGCCGTACGAAGGAGATCTTCTACAACCGGCGTACTTACAGTGCGTCGCATTCAGGCTGATCATAGTGGGTGTCTTGTGCGCGAAACACATCTTGTCCCCACGTGGCTTCCCAGTGGTATCTGTACGATGAAGAGAGGAGCGTACGGAGGAAGGTGTTGGTAACTCTGCTCTTGTGTGCTGACTGGTAAAACGAACACACATGCAGCAGTAGAGCAGCAGTAGCGAGTGTAAATCTCGCCGCTTGTGCGTGTAGTTGTGGGCAATTGGCTTGAAATGTAGACGCTTCTACTATTGTGGAGAGGGGAGAGAGAAAGAAAGAGAGGCAGCGAGAGAGACATCGAGAGTAGAGAGAGATATAGAGAGCAACAGGTAGCGAGTGTGTCGCCGCAGCAGTAGCGAGTGTAATCTCGCCGCGTGTGCGCGTACTTGTGGGCAACAAACAAGCTTGGAACGTAGACGCTTGTACTACATCGTACTGTGGAGAGGGAGAGAAAAGAAAGAGAGAAAAGAGAGACAGGGAGAGAAAGAGAGAGATAGGAGAGAGAGAAAAAGAAGAGAAAGAGAGAAAGTAGGGGACCGGGGAGAGAATAAAGGAAAGGAGGGGAGATGATGGGAGAGAAGGCGAGAGAACTTGCGAGAGAGGAACGCGGTTACCACATCATCTGCTCACCTCTGTGGCCATAGCATGCTCTTGTTTTTGGTGGACATCTCTTGTCCGCACAGTACCATACCATGGTGTTGGCGGG